GAGTAACCGCCACTTGTCGGCGAAGTTAGTGCCAACCTCAGTTATCCTCACGAGGCTGAGTGGACCCCGTTCCAGACCCACTATTTCTCAGAAAATGTGGTAGTGCTGGGAATCGAACCCGGGACCTCTGGATCTCTAACCAGGAACTCTGACCACTAGACCACAGAGGCGGTCATCCGAAGACTCAAAATTGCAACAAGATACTGAGTCAGTGCTATTCGCCTCTCTTCCTAGCAGTTCATGTTAATCTTCGTAGTGGACGTTCTCCAAGAAGCTTCCTCACGAAAACAATACGAGTATACGTATTTCTTGCCTCTTCATCATAGCTACCTATCCAGCACATTGTAGAAGTCATGAAGGAACTCCCATGTACAATCTTAAATTATTAACGTGCGTGTTAAGTAACTGAGACATAAGATTTACGTTTGTTTTAACGCTGGCAGTACAAGTGTACTGAGTCAGAAATTTCTACCTTTGCATGTACAGGACACAGGTTCAGTTCCCTCATAATTCCATTCATGTGTAACAAAGAGAAACATGTAATCTTAATAAATCAGGTTCTCCGTCACACAAATTCTCCATATCTTTTGCATTCCCCAGACTGAACACTGCATTGCATTATAATTCCAGTTTTTGTCATGAGATTTTCACAACAGTGATTCCTCAGATTGTAGCCCTCTAGGGCGGGACATTATGTTAGTCTTGTAGGAGGATACCGACCTCTTGGAAGAATATGCTGTTTCCATATACAGGGCTGAATTGTGTAGGACGAGAAATCGGTTGTATTTGATGCACAGGTTGCAAGGAAAAATAGCAGCTCAGATCCATAAGAGCTGTGAGGAAATGGAGGCTGAATTAATCCCCCTCCTGTAACAATAACCAAAATGCCATGAGGACTGTCTTTTCTCGCAATCCCATTTCCCCCTGTGGCGAAAGACAATATTATAGCGCTGAAAATGGCCGTTTTCCTGCCTACAGTTTCTATTGGCTCAGACCGGGGGAAGAACGGAAGAAATTCCGAGAAAACCCTTTTCTAGTGGTAAATTGTCCGCCGCGGATCTTACATGAAGTGCCCCCAGTGATCGAACCCCGGTCCCTGCCGTGAGAAGTCATACCAGAAATAATTTGCGAGGTTTGTCAGTTGGGATTATAAAAAGGCACTAGGCTTCGAGATGGTGCAGTCCGTCATGTATGGAGGCTGTGCACAATGGCGCCCCTATATATCCATTGTGTCTGAGTTCAATCAGTTTCATGAACTAACTCTGCTTTCAATTTGTGATTCTGAATACCAGCGTGTAACTCAGATTGCTATGCTGAAAGTTCAGCTGGGAGTCCGGGTGTTATCGCCCTCTTTATGGCCGCTGCCGGAGCACAACTTGGTTCCACCTACGTTACTTGTCAGTTTCAAGGCAGGCCACAATCATGTCATGACCGGGACTCGAACTAAGGGCGTCTAAGACAAGCCCACACGTTAGCAGGCTTGTAACCTGGAAACTGCAATGGCTTGCTATGCAGATTACACTCAGTGTTGGCAACTGAGACGTAAATATTCAATTTTACTCAGCACATCGAACATTACATTCGAATTTATAGGGTACCAAGCAACTATATAAACATGCGTTTCCTTGGAATTCTGCGATCATAATACCCACTCATATTCACTGTTTACGATGGACTTAACATTCATTTAGTTGTTCTTCCAACAATCCTGCCTCTGACAAAGGTCAGACCTGAGGCCATGACCTCACTAGGGCTGTTATTGGCCGTCGCTTTACAGTGGACAGTAATTCTGCTTTGTGTTCCCAAGTTCAAATATCGGCCCACGGTCCGGCTATCCGGGCCGGCGATTTTCATTATTTCCCCACTCTCTCCACGAAAATACCAGAATAGTGTTTTGAATTAGGCCACGACCGCTTCCCTCAACTTTATTCCTAGTCGTTTCTCACTAATTACCGTATCATTCAACACTATATAATCTGTAATATTAAAAACGTCGTTAAGTAAACAAAGGTTCCAGCTGCATAATAGTTCATTCCGTACACTCTCGGTAGTTCTCATATGCAGTGTTTGTTCACCGGTCTTATGAACGCTGAGAACTGCTTTTATTCCGTCTTGTTTAAAAAGTATGAAGACGAGGATATGTTGTACAGCGTTGTTGTGTAATGGGGGCTATCGCTGTATCTCTTCTCTAGTTTATTTACGGCACTGTCTCACAGCTTGTAGCGCCGAAGGAAGAAAGATTGGTGAATGGACGGATTTGAAAAGAAGTAGTCTGGGTTTAGTCGAGGTACCCTCCTGGAATTGTCCTTGAGGAATGCGAAGAATAATCTCACGTGAAGTCGGTGTCTCGGCCCAGATTCGAATATGTCACCTCATGAATACGGACCTAGCTCGAACGGTATCGAAGGAAATTTATTACAAATGTGGGGAAGAAATCTCAAATATTAGGAACTACGAAGGCTGGAGTGAACAGTTTATGTCCTTAAGTTAATCAGTGGACCGGTCACGGTAGCCGAGCGGTCTAAGGCACGCACTGTCTTCGCTCGCTCGGAAGCCGGGATCGTGGGTTCGAATCCTACTCAGGGCATGGATGTTTGTGTGCGTTTTTCTGTGGTTGTGTACAGGTAGAGGCCTTGCCCAAGGAGTCCTACCGAATGTGTAAGATCTAGAAAAACCGAAGTGAACGGAGAAGTTCATGGAGGTAGGCCTAGGCCCACTGGGGCTGTAGTGCCAAGGGGAAAAAAAAAAGTTAATCATTGCCGATCACAGTGGCCGCGCGGTCTAAGGCATGAACTGTCTTCGCCCACTTAAACAATGGGATCGTGGGTTCGTATCCTACTCAAGCCATGAATGTCTATATACGTTTATTCTGTGTTCGTGTTCTTCTGTATATAGGTAGCAGCATTACAACGGGCTGATCCCCCATGCAAGGAGTCCTACCGACTGTGTAAAAGATGAACTGAAAATCGGCCGGATTCAGACGAAAGGGCTGCAGAGTTATAGATAGATAAGTTAATAAGTTTCTAATTTTTCTTACAGACAACGTTCTCAGTCACTTTTTGACTCATCCAGTTCGGACGAGAGAAAGAAACTCTGCTCATTGCCAATAATGAAGAGAGAAGGGGGGAACTGGAAGTGTAGCAGTGTGTTAGTGCGAATCGGAGAGTGCTCGTTGCTAATCTTACATACGTTCCCGAAGAACTTCTTAACTTTGCAGCCAACTGATTCTTTAAATTGCTGATTTACGGTGATCTGAATGAAATTCCATGTTGTAACATTTGAGGCTCTCACGGCGATGGTTAAGAAGGGCGGTGTAACACCTGTTTACTGCCTTGTTGCCTCAGTCATGCTGTTTTATTGCTGGGCTTACATTTCAGCCCTGAAATGGAGGCGACATGTTCCGCTGAAACGTCTGTTGACATTCACCCGGCTACACGGCGTTATATCCCAGAAGAACTTCTTAAATTCCATGATCATTGAATACAGTTATATGAAAATTCTTGAAATCAAGGGAATATTTGTTACTTCTCTTACTGTTTTATGCTACAGAATAGGTCTACAGAGTGACCTTAGAGCGTTTAGGCAAAAATTCTCTCAAATACTTTGTCGTAGGCGTATGAACACACACAGACTCGCGCGGATGAACGTTTCTCAGAAAATTGAGATTTAAGTCACACGGATTCATCATTTGTTGTGCATTTAAAATGTTTCGCAGCATCACAACGTTAATTTTAATTCTGGTCAAAGAAGCTTACAGAAATCTTACGCTATTGAGATACACTATACATATCTTTTAAGGCACTAACAGACAAATTCCCCGTTTATTCCAGGCACTCCCATAGGGCTTCACATGACCGCTGTTCTTAAATGCATTTAAGAGATGTAATGTGGCATTGAGATTACCTTCAAATCTCCGTCATATCTTTTGTCATGAATATCGGCGAATTTAAAACGTTTCTGGGGAAGGCATACACCGATACAGTACTGTTTTACTCTTGCCGAAACCCTTTTCTTTGTCCAGTGCCTCCCGAAACTTGGATTAAAGTTCCAGCTCTTCGCGTGGCTGGCAAATGAAGAAGGTGCATGTATGTCGCGTAGGTTGAGAGGAACGTGATGAGAGTGGGAAGCCAAGAATGACGTCATCACTTGATTCCGGACAGGGAAATATTTCAGTGATTCCCTTCTTGACAACAGTGGGCGGACCGGTATTGTTCAGATCCTCTTCTTCAATAGACTGCTGGGTTACAGAGCAGGACCAGTTCATGCAAAGCTAAAATTAAACCATACAATGAGTTGTGCGAGTCCCTGTTTCGGGGTTTAGCATTGTTGTTTGTTAAATCTTCTCCAACGTTTCGGTTGGCATTGCAGTCGTCACCGTGACCCAAAACCGAAGTTGAGTATTAGACACAGATCGCAAAATCCCGAAGATGAGTACACATTTTGATTTCCTGTATTCGGGGTACCGCTGTTAATTCGGAATATTGTATAATTTCAAGAAAAATATTAAATTTTGTGATCCAGAATAACTTTGTCGGTATAGCGTCGAGATAGCAGCTGGACTGGAGGAGTTCGATTCCCGGCAAAAGATGTTTTTTTTTACTCCGCAGCATACAGACAGGCTCTGGGGCCCAACTGGCCTTCTATCCAACAGGCCGAGGACTCTTTTACCGGAGGTAAAGCTTCCGAGGCGTGAAGGTAACTCACTTTCATCTAGTGCCGAGGTCAAGAATTGTGGAGCTATGCCTCCACTGCTCCATGCGTCTTCATGGCGTGGAGCTTAATTAATTAAGCACAGGAAGAACTCACCGTTTCTCCATCATCAGTTTCCATGACGGCCCTGGAGTCACCCCGTTTTGTGTCCTATGCTTACGGAACCCGTTACTCACGGAGCAGATCGTGCGGCAAACATTCTCTCTCTTACAGCGTGGTTCACCTCCACAAGTGCAAGTACAGTCACCCTGAACCGTGCAATTATTAATGTTTGTGTTTCTACTTGGCAGGTGGAGGGGCAGGAGCCATGTCGGCCGAAGTGAGTGACGTGTCCCACATACAAGATGAAGACCTTCTGCGTAGAATGGTAAGTGACAGAGTACACAGCTACTATTCTGTAACATGCTTGCTTGCATTGTGGCTCGTACTCCTGCTTCGATTTCGGAAACTCCCAGTTCCGAACTTCGACTATGAGGTCGACTTTCCTGAAAGGAATGTTTTATTCGACGGGAGACTCGTCCAGGAAAACTCTGCGAAATCACTTGGTTCTGGCCACGACCGCTCCTTCCTAAATTATTTTCCCTTTTCATACAGAATCAACCCGTGTCTCTGCCGTGCCATAGCTCAAGCGGTTAGTCGTTGGCTTCCCACCACAGCGGCCCGGGTTTGATCCTGGGTCTGGTCAAGTGGGATTTGTGGTGGACAAAGTGGCGCTGGGGCTGGTTTTCTTCGAGTACTTCGGTTTCCTCTGCCAATCTTCATTCCACCAAATTCTCCATCATCATAATCACTCGGGCAGGCTACAATAGGCCAATAAGTGGCCGCCATGCCGAGTGGACCCAGTTGGACTCCACCCCCCACTAAGCGAACCCGTGCCTATATTCTACAGCGTATAGCCAAAGGAAATGGCAAAGCGTAGTTCTATAAAATAAGACAGGAAACAACTTGCAGTAACAGATCTGTTGTTTAATGTTTTACTGAACAGTAAAACAATACATTTGTAGGCTATACAAAGATATAAACGATATAACGTATTCATGACGTTCATGGAATGATTCCCTGGACGCCCTTTATATTTCCAGTTGTTTGCTGGGATTGCTGGGCAGATTAAGCGAGGCTTCAACAACAGAAAGATTCTTCTGCAATATGAGAGTGCAGCCAATGTTCCACTTTGTGTCTGCTCCTAACTCCAGAATTATTTCCGATATATAATACCCTTCTAACATGTGGAGAAGTCCAAATAGACCTATTTGTGAAAGACGCTAATAAATCAAAATTTCGTTCACCAGAAGAAAAAAGCAGATCGAAGCCGAAAAATGCTTCCTACTATTCTGTTACGAATACTTGTCTTCCTTTCTAATACATAGAAACGTAGAGATAGAACATGTAAAACTAATAATTTACCTACTTTTCTATATTGGTATTTTTTTTTTAATTCGCATATTGGGGATTGAGTCCAGTTGGGCGCCCTCGGCACGTCGGCCACTGATTGGCCCATTGTACCTGCCCCGGGTGATTATGATGATGGAGAAATTGGTGGAATGAAGATTGTCAGGGGAAACCGAAGTACTCGGAGAAAACCTGCCCTAGCGCCACTTTGTCTACCACAAATCCCACTTCACCAGACCCGGGCTCGAACCCGGCCCGCCGTAGTGGGAAGCCAGCGACTAATCGCTTGAGCTATGGCGCGTCCTATATTGGTGTTGGTTCCTAACGTGAAAGGATATACAAAGAACACTAAACATTGTTCTCCAACAATGTTTAGTGTTCTGAGTTCTGAGCAGTTCTGAGAACTTCTTTTGGACCGAGGAATAAGAACACGCTGGATAAATTCCAGTAATGAGGAAATTTATATTTTACACGTCACCAGATATTATTTGGCTGATGAAATGAAGGAAGTCAAGAAGGGCGAGACCCTCATTAGAGGGATGAAAAATCACACAAAGTTTTATTCATGGAGTATGAGGGTAGGAGACCTAGGTGTATATGAGAGGATTAAAATCGATGTTAAAGACATAGGATGTTATGGTGTTGACTGGATTCATCGGGCTAGCGCTGAGCTCTTGTTACCGTGACTTGGCTTCCATAAAAGCCAGACAGTTGCTTGAACAGCAGTGCAACTGTTAGTTTCTCAGATAGGACTCTGCTCCTGAAGTTGGTTGCATAGTTAGCATGACCATAATATTCTCCTCCGGTTAAACCATCTGCACATAATTGCAGACGTGTGCCATTGGTGTAGACACGTGTATGCTGCTTCATGTCCTTATTCATTCATCCTGACAGCTTCTTAAGAAATTTCTTCATTTCATGACTACGAAACTCCTTTCGAGGAGACGCATTATTTTCAGCGATTTATAGCGCGGTCTGTTTTCTTTTTGTGGAACTTGTTTGGTTAAGACAAAGAGACTTATTTCTTCCAAAAGACGTTTAAGCTCTGCAGCTTATCTTTGACTTCATATCTACTACATATCGTACTTCTACAAAAATGTAATTTTCAGGTGAAAATGCCTGTGTTCTCTTTGGTACATCCTACAAATTTTGACGAATTTGAACCACCGACTTCGTGGCGCTCATTCCACAGTTTTTTTTTGTTTTTTTTTTCCATTCCGATGTCCTACTTATTCTGCCGCTTCCTTTCACGCGTCTCTCGATTCATCCTTTGTAATCATGTATCTCGTGTATCTCTTCCGTTGCAACAATGACTCAGCGACTGTTACAGTGATGCAACAATCCGATACGCCTAGGCGGACAAACAAATCTCGACGATATCCCCAGTGACTCCACTACATACCAATACACTGGAGATCGACGGCATGCCAGAGAAATGTCAGTGGCAAGAGGAGAGCTCCATTAAAATTGCGTGATAACGTTTATGCGCCAACCACCCCTGACACCAGTTTTCACGATTTAGGGGGTGACTATCGACGGGGTTTGGATTGGAGAATGGATTTATTGAGTACTTACACACACGACTCGGAACCACGTGTATAAGCAATTACAGAGCTATCGCTGATCAACACACCTTACAAATCACAACAGCACAAGTCAAAGTCAAAGACAAAGACAAAGTCAAAATCAAAGTTACTTTATGAATGGCCGTTTACCGCAAGTCATTTCGTCTTGGCGTCAAACCCCGTGATACCCACGACCAAAAATTTTTCTTTTCAACTTAACCCTTGCGGTAATAAACTTTATGTAATATCCTCTCTGACGAAATGGTGGTTTGGTCTCTTTCATCTAGTGTACGTATCGCACATATAGCATGTTTTGAGAATTCTTCCTTTTGCACTATACACAAGCCCTCTGTCAGTACAGGCTTTGCAGAGCAGATCATGTGTATCTTACGTGTCTTATGATACTCGTACAAAGGCAGTTTAGTCACTTAAACGGCTGTAAGCTTGACCACTGCCAAGTTTAAGCTTCTTATATTTTATATGTCTGGCGTCTACTTGTCCTATACCGCGAACATATTCATTCTCATGATTTTGTATGACTTCTGCTTATTGCCTGCACAATTTTGTTATATAATCATATACATACGGAAGGCTAAAAACCGTGTGCAAATCGAGGACCGGTGTGCACCTTGGAAAATTTTAAGTGGTGCAGAGAACCTTTACTACCGCACATGCTAAACCTCAGTCTCTTATAGTCTTCCCTAGTCGTTGCTTGGTAACAGCTCTCCACAATGCAGATTTTCAGTGTCTGTGCTCATGCCGTTGCCTTCTCATAACTGAACTCAATGCTCCAACACTCCTGGTTATAACATGTCGGCACGGACCACATAGAAAACACGCCTTTTCCAACAGTAACTCTATTGATGCATGCGTATTCGTTGCCGCGGGAACGGGTTTATACGTCACAATATTGTAACAGAGAATTAGCCTATACGTTTTAGCAATAATCTGTTTGTGCCTTCGTTGCGCGCTTTTGAGACAGCCGGTATAATACAAGATATAAAGCTTTATAATGCATATGTCGATTTCTTGCTTTGGGACAAATATTTGTCGTCTGGTTTACTGTATTTTGTTCCGTGAAGGAACCTGGGATTGCCCTAAATCTTGTGGGAACTGAAAAATGTGTGTCGTGTCCCTTCTTCGAACCCCAACGCAATAAGGCTTTTGCCCTAATTTCCTGTTCTGTAATAGTTTCATTACTGATTAATTTAACAGCGCTGATCTAGTTCAATTCTTATTGAAGGGCTCCATCGGCTAGGATATAACAACATGTAGTCAACTGAAAGTCAACCGACATTTCGGGGGAAAATATCACCTCCACCTTCAGGTTCATAGAATAAGTCAAGCAATAAACCAACATGAAACAGGCATCAGGCAGAGCTCTGATTGCTGCCTTCTTCATGCTGGTTTCTTGCTTGGCTTACTCTTCAACCGTGAAGATGGAGACGATATGGTCGCCCCAGAAGAAAACCTAAATTCCAATTTAAGTCATGTTGACCTACACTAATACACTAATATTTATCCCATCGCTTATATTTAATTCTACGATAAAACCGAGACTAAATACTCTACCGGCAACATAGAGCCATTAAGATGCCTGGGTAACAGGCGCTAACCAGCGGTTTCTTTCTGCCTGTATTCACCAGGCAGGGCGGTTAAAATGGTGTGATGAAAATCCCGAGATATGATTTTTAATCGCTCCAGCATAGGCCCAGAATTGTAACAACCAGTATCAATAGTTTTAATACATATTTAGAAAATAATTAAATTACCCGAGAGCCATGATGTTGATATCTAGAAAGGAACATAATTGCCAGTTCATTGTATTAACGGAAAGTGTTCTCTTAACGATTATCTGTCCAGCTAAACACAGAATTGTTCAAGCAGTGAATTGAAACCACCGCCCTCTCTTCATACGGCCCTGACCTACTCCGTAAGTCATTAAAGGCAATGCCGTATTAGGAAGCATAACAATTTCTAACCTAAAATAGTACAGTGATCACACCTAGATCATGGTATCAGCTTCCTTGCGAAATAGACATGCATTGGTTGCCCACGACTTCAGCATCAAGCTTCTCAGGAAGTTTTTTTGTTTCTTCGTGGCAACGAAATAAACGTGACATGATGAGGTTCAGGGAGTTCCTAACCTGAAGTCTCGGGTTTTATTTTTAGGCGATTTTAAGGGAAGCAGAAAATAAAAGACACCCGATTGGCTCCCCACGTCTGTCCACTCTTCATCTGCTGAAGAATTGCCCCCGAATTCGTGTCAACATTTTTTATCAAATTCTCATCACTTCTGATTCCTTTAACTGGACGGACACCTCCAGCTTCTAACCACAAATACGTACTTATGGAAGTATCGGGCTACTACGGCGGCCGTGTCTGGAGCATGTAGGTCATAACAGTGTTATCGTGCAAAAGTAACCACGGGATATATTTCTGCAACGAGATGAGAGGATAAGAGCGAGAACACTCAAGAAGACAAATATGCGGGTGTAGAAAATAATTAAAACACAGGAAAAAAAGAGAGAAGGGGCAAATAAATAAATGAACCAAATTAAAATGGGACAAAATTTGTACATTTATTCTTGCTAACATTCCTGATATGACATGACGTCACGTGATAATAGAGGCTACCGGACCGACACAGTTACGTAGATAATGTTCTTCGCGTTTTCTGCGTGGAAAGGAAAATCAGGAGAAGTTTGGACTCGGTATTGATGCATCGTGGCAACTGAACTAAAAATTGCAGCTAGTCTTCAGGCAATTTTCGTTGACAGCCTTTAAGGAGCTGAGGAAGTATTTGCCTTACTAACGTTCAGTCTTCCCGGTCACGGTAGCCGAGCGGTCTAAGGCATGTGCTGTCTTCGCTCGCTCGGAAGCCGAGATCGTAGGTTCGAATCCCACTCATGGTATGGCTGTTTAGTGTTTTTTGTGTGTTTTTATATGTTTATATACAGGTAGAGGGGCCTTGCGAGGAGCTGATCACCTGCTCAAAGAGTCTTACCGAATGTCTAAGATCTAGTAAACCGAAGTGAAACGGAGAGTTTCATGGAGGTAGACCAAGGCTTAAATTGGGGCTGTAGCGCCAAAGGAAAAAAAAAAGAAAAAGTTCATTCTTTACAAAGTATGGTATTTCAACGTCGACAACATGAAAATTATGGTGTGATATTTCATAAGTTCAATGTAGACATGAAAGCAGTCGGTTTGCATTACAGTTTGTGTCTTGACGATATGGATGTTCTGATTCGCCTTCTGAATTGTGTCCTTCATCACTTCCAATTAGATGTGTGTTCTGTTGTACCGTTATCCCGGCTGAGTCAGCCTGATTGTTGGCTTATGTGATTTCAGCATCCACCGTATGCGTTATTGTACAATATTTTTAAAGTTTCAGATGGGGATACATGACTGTGATTTTAACAATTTAAGGATTAATAACATTTTATAGATTTTGCCGTCTGTGTTTAATTCGATTAAATTCACTCGTCTTCTTCTCTTTAGTTTATTCTACACAGGGCAACAGAATGCTGTAATATGATATTAGTAATTTAGTTGAACGTCCATGATTGTGACTTAATAACCGAAATATTTTGGATGAATTAATTATTTGTTGGCTGAATCATGTATTAAATGGTGCTTTCTAAAGTGAGTGGAATAAAAATGCAAAGGCAGTAACGACAGATGTAACAATTAGGCTGTATTAAAGCTTAATTTAAGGGGTATTACGCCACAAACATGAGAATGGTGCTAATTACAGTCAAAATTATGTGGTTTTACAGTGGCAGCAGACGGAGGACTTCGGGCGCAAGAAAGAGATCCGCGCCCGCATGTACAAGCTGCGGGAGCAGCGGCTGAAGGAGTTTTACACAACCGGAGAAGTGTTGTCTGACGTGCTAAGTACTAGCACCTCCTCTCTGGACGGCGGCAGAAAGAATATCAGCTCATCCAATCTGAAGAGCACCCAGAGGTGGGATAAGACTGTTAACAGATGTTACGCATTGGCGCTAATGAGTTCCGACAGAAAACACTTGACGTTGATTGTTCTGGTGACGTAGAAATCTGCTGTCAGCGCAACAATAATGTATTCTATTCCAATCAAACCTGATAAGGTGGCCGAGTGGGAGGCAATTCTACTTCGTAGTTGGGAGCCTCTGGGTTCGGAGATTGCTTATCCTGACTAGGATTTTCGGTCCCAATCGGACAAATTCCGACATAGTACCTCAAGCTAGGGAATGCGTATAGGATTCTGATAGGAAAGCCCGAAGGAAAGAGACCGCTATGAAGACGTAGACAGGTGACAGGGTGATGTAAAAACGGATCTGAAAGGAACACGATGAGGGCTGTCGAACGGATTTATCTGGCTCAGGATACGGACAGTGGAGGGCTCCTCTGAACACGGTAATAAATTTTCGGCTTGCATAAAATTTTGAGTAATTTTTGAAGAGCTGAGCGACTGGCGGCTTCTTAAGGACTCTGTTCCATATAGTTAGTTAGTACCTTAAATTACGGCCCTGCCCCTTCCATGGAAATCATTTTCAGTTCATTATTCACTAATTATTATACCATTCGATAATATGTAACCTTGACTACTGATGCAGTTGTTAAGTAAAACAAAAATACGTTAAATATTGCATTTAATTTATTCCCAAACACTTGGTTTTGTTTTAAATATAATTTTGGAAGTGTATGCCTTTGTGTGAATCGAATTATTCTCGCTTAATATAACACGCGTTTGCCTTTTTATGCTTTTGGCCCTAGAACCTGCTGTCATGTCCGGGGAATTTTGTGATTTCCTCCGGTCCTTCTATGTACTTTTGGGATATTGCATTAAAAGCAGGTGATGACTTCTCCACAATTCATTCGGATTCATTATTCATATTCATCCTCTCGTTATATGACTTACTTTGTTTAGAAAGCGTCATTATGTATCTGCATGTTCCCATAGGCTATTCTTGTAAGTTTGTATTCACTAAAAGTTGCCCGTCTCAAAGCAAGAAAACGCCTTACATTTTAAGACGCTCTGCAGATATTTTACGGTTGTAGAACAAAATTCCGACTGTTTTTTTTGTGATGTATTATTTTGATCGATGCGGTGCAGTTCATATAATATACCAACAATTTCTCGTGAGTGAAGAAGTGAGGTGAAAACGTGATTGAAATATTAATTGATGTTTTAGTTGACTTTGAGTCCAGAAACTGATTCTTTAACCCATGTCTCTATCCACGACTCTTCGAAGATTCCGCGAATTTTCTTCATATCTGATATTTATAAATATTTGCATCCTTTATGTCCAGTTTCTGGATACAGTTTTCAGACTTAAAATTCAGTAATTTCTCATATGGCTTTTTAAATATAAAGTTGTCATGCTCTCGGAAACGTTCCTGATAGGTTTTATGAAATGTTGCTGATACAGCAGCCCAATGCTTATTGTCCCAAAAATTAACTGCCTATCCACCATAAATTCTTTTTGTCTCTGCTCAACTTCAGTAGCAAGAGAAAATCTATACTGCAGTATGTTATATTCATGATGGCTTGATTCAGCCTACCAAGAAGCATTCAGATACGTGGATGAAGTGCAATTAAGAGGCTCTGAAGGAAACAAAATAGTACCATAAAAAGCCAAACTCTTCCAATTGAAATTAATATAAGCCTAAACTTAGCGACAGAAAAATTAACCAAGCAGATCGAATTTATTTTTTATATAAAGTATTTTTTATTTGAGATTTTAAATATATTTTGTAACACCGTTTTCAGCCTATATATTCCTATAAACCAAAATCAAGGCAAAAATAAATCTTTTAGGCTTACACTTATCGATTCAGTGGCGAAAGTCGCTTGCAACTGTTATTATTCTCGAATTCAATTGTGTCCCTATGACATTCTTTCACGGTCTATATTACCCTGCCAAGCTGATCTGCTGGTTAAGTTGCCTACCTGGCTGGCTAACTTGACAACCTGAAGTTTGGGATATAGCACCGCGTAGTCTGTTCAAAGTCAACAGATGTTTCGGAGGATCATGTCGACTACATCTTCAGGATTGAATAGTAACCCAAGCAAGGAACTAGTTACAATTAATATTTTGCTGGACATTATCCATCATCTTGTCTATTCTAAAAAACAGTCTAATTTCTATTAAAAAACACAACGTTTCGGGAACTGGATTCTGTCCCCGTCTTCAGGTAAAACCTACTAAGTTGGGTCCAATAGACAGAGCTAGCCCCTATCGTCCGGAGATAGGGGCTAGCTCTGTCTATTGGACCCAACTGAGTAGGTTTTACCTGAAGACGGGGACAGAATCCAGTTCCCGAAACGTTGTGTTTTTTAATAGAAATTAGACTGTTTTTTAGAATAGACAAGATGATGGATAATGTCCAGCAAAATATTAATTGTAACAATTTACCATCATCACAAACTTTTAGATCTTAAAGGAACTAGTTGTTTGCTGCCTGCTTCATGCTGATTTCTTGCATGGCTTATTCTTCGACCCTGAAGATGGAGGAGACGCGTTCTTTCGAAACGTTGTTTGACTTTGAAAGACTACACGGTGTTGTATGCCAGAAGGAAGAAATTTTCATAATCATCGCTGTGAGAACGCCAAATCCTACAATCTTAAATTTAGTTAAAATTTTCTATCGCATATTTCCACGAATTTTCTGCTACATTTTCACAGTTGTTACGAGTATATTGGATTGTAAACTGATTAAAATACTGCTAGAATGAATTAGGAAACTTGAGAAGACAGCCAACGAAGACGCCTGTGAATGTTTCTTCAGTCAGGTCGAGAAAAGTTTTAGGATTCCCTGCTTTGGTTTCCCTTATGACATGACTTTTAGTTTAGTTTATTGACTTGAGTTTCCTTTCAAACATCGAGCTATGTCCACGTAACACCAGATTTCTGTGGTGCAGTTTTAATACGTACAAACATAAAACTTTAGTACTTACAAACAAAATAAACCTACAATCTACTCTAATTGCTTAAGTCAGTTCAGCTATTGCTATTGTTATTGATACTATCAATACTGCACCAATATTATTTCTGCTTTCAATCTGTTTTCTCGTTTTATATTTTAGCTTCCAGCTAACTTCATGTGGGGTTGTCCTCCCCCCTCCCCAACCTTAGATAGTTATTTACATTTAGTCTTAAGTAAATATTTTTCCGGTTGTTTCTATCTATGACGTGACCTTCATGATCATACAAAAATTGATTCTGTATATATTGTTATGAAGGTGAAGAAGTCTTTCGAATATGAACTTGAAAAATCGTAACTTTGCCGCCGTTTCTCCCAATACTGACTGGTCTTACTATATTCGAGATACATAACATACAAGTGCACGTACATATTTAAGTAAACTTGTTTAGCAGCTCCTCCCTGCTTCTACCTACTCTCTACCTGCCTTCATCCCTGATTTCATTATCGTGTTCACAATGCTCCCCGGATGAAGTTGGGTGTCCAATCTTAAGTCTTCTGCGAGAAAAGGCAGAATCTCAAAATGACAAGTCTTTGATAACAACGAAACATAAATTCATGACAGACAACTCAGAATAATAAGAAAATGACAGTGGCTCTGACCATTTCTGCAGTAATACAAATATGCACTGCAGCAGCTACAGAACTATGATTTCGGCCACCTTATTCGGTCCAGACGGAAAACCAAATAACGTAAAGTAATCACGCGGAGCCGCCCGCCTACCCCAGACCTAGAAAATCTCCCCAAAACGCGTAACATTGCGATACAATTCAGATCGCAACGTTGTTCCGTTTATATGGTCATAACAGTAACACTGTATGGGGCAGTAGCAAACCCAAACAAATAATACTGTAACAAAACCTCGTCGCAACATCCCCAACGGAAAACTTGCATTACCGTTGCAACAAGGAGGCCTCTTGCCCTCAGCGGCCGGAGCGAAGAGTAGAAAAGGAATTTTACGACCTACTTTGCCGACCGATGGTAAGCAGCAGAGTGCGTGCCCTCATATCTCCCCTCCTACCGGAGGTCTTCCTTTCGAAACATAGCAGGAACAGAAATTCGCATGGTAAAAAGGGATGCTGGGCCAACGATAAACGAATCAGAACGTGGCTGTCTCGGGAGGGATGAAGGAGGGAAGGTACCGGACCGGAAGACGCTACTCCTTAGCCATCCGAATATAAAACACGGCTCAGTTTAATGTGACTATTAGAAGAGTATTCATTAATAATAAACAGATCTGTTTCGCTATTCCGAAAAAAAAAATATATATATATCATGGTACTTCAAAAAGAACGTGACAGAAATATTATATGTTGCTTCACGTAACAATACTTCAACCCACAGATCCTTAATATATTGTAACGTGTTTCGTTACTGAAGACGCCGTAGAGATTGTTAATTAGTTTATTCAACAACCTACAAATCACGGCTACAATTAATTATAACAATATTGCGGGGTTTCACAACTTATAACCCTATTCGTAAATCAGATCACGCAATTGTCAGTAGACTGCACGTTTCACAGTACGGGAGCTATGTATCACTGTATCACACGCTCCCAATTACACAATTACACACACGTCCGGTTCTTCTTTCCGCGACGGCTGCTATACTCCAACTGTAGTCTGCCGACTGGAGAACTGTTGATAACACACTCGCTCGACTACTACTGAACTCGCCAACGGCCACATTACAACTCCATCACGCTTACCNCTTCTCCGTTGCGCAACATGTCACAATATGTACGATATTGAGAACAAGGGATATGCAATGCACTGTATACATCGCCCTGGCACTGCAGACAATCAGACAAAAAGGCAGTGTTTTAATTTCAATTCCATATTCCGCTTTGACGACGGCAGAGGAGAGCTGTTAAATTCAATAGAGTGAAAATATTGTACCGCTTCCTGATATGGCTGACTGCTTGCTCTTCAGAATTAGGTAGAGTGAGAACAGTATATAAACAGACTCCGTGGTCTAGTGGTCGGAGTTCCTGGCTACAGAACCAGAGGTCCGGGTTCGATTCCCGGTGCTACCAGATTCTCTGAGAAGTAGTGGGTCTGGAACGGGGTCCACTCAACCTTGTGAGGCTAATTGAGGAGCTACTTGAACGGAAAAGTAGCGACTCCGGTCTAGAAAACTGGAAATTAATGGCCGTGGCGATTCGTTGCCCTGACCACGTGACACCCTCTATCCGCAAAAGTTGACACTTACTTCGCCGACAAGAGGCGGTCGCTCGGTCGGTATGGTTCTCTTGCAGACTAAAACCACGGAGTTGGTTTGTTTATTGTATTCAGTAGTAATAATATTCTGATGTTCTGCCAGAACCACGCTGCAGTGTAGTTAGTTGAGGCACTATGCTACAAGCCGGAAGATCGTAGGTTCTATTTCCAATGAGGTTATTGGATTTTTTAATTTACCTGATCCTTCCAGGCGCACTATTGTCGTGGGGTCGACTCAGCCTCTAACGTAAATGAGTGCCAGGAATCTTTCTGGGAGTAAGGGGGCGGCCGGCGCATAAGACTGACAATCCACTGCCATCTGTGAGCCGATTGTTTAGAAAATATGGGAGCCTCGACCTGTCACAACCATATGGACCTCCATGCCCTGTTACAGCGATAACTCTACCTTTTTACCAAAACCTTATGTATACATTTAAGTAATAAATTATTTGCAACATAGGCCGAATGCTATCTATGGGACACTCGCACTTATTTTATTCGTCTTAATTGTTTGGATAAAGATTAATTTTCGCAGGAATAAAATGGATGGATAAAGCCCTCATAGAGATATAAATTATTATGAATATTAAAAGTGTTACTATTATAAGGCTAATTTATTTGAAAAAAAATGGTATAATGCTGCCAGGACACATGAGAATATGCAGGAATGTCAGATTTAGTATATTCGCCGATATAAATTAATTTTGAGGATTCCCCGTGAAGAATGTCAGTAGTGGTAGCAAGGTGTCCACATACTCAGAGGTTTCTCAGAAGAATAACCCATGCCATTTTTTGTCGGTACCAATGAAATGAGTTCGCAATGAAGCTACATAGGAAAATATTTCCAGTATTTACAGTGAATTATGAAATTAAATTGACTTGGCTCTTCCTGGTCCGTCACACTACCAATAATATAAAAAATTATTAACGCCATCCAGTGTGATTGATAAATGTTTTTTTTTTAATCTTTCATTCTTTACATGTTTCGGTCCTAGTGACCGTCTTCAGAAGGACGTCAATATAAACGGAAGCTACTATTACAATGTCATGGGTCATTTTCAGCACATAATGACACTACTATTACACTTCCATAAAGGATAATATTTTATATTTATGACATTGTAATAGTAGTATCTGTGTTTGTGTGTTGCCCTGTGTTTAGGTACAGGCCTTGCGACCAGCTGATCACCCGTCCAAGCAGTCCGACTGTCTGTAAAATGTTCATGAAACTGAGAAATCAGGCCTATGCTCCGCAGTGGGGGCAAAGGAGGGGAAAAATAGTAGTGTCCATATGTGTTGATAATGACCAGTGACATTGTAATAGTAGTTTCCCTATGAATTGGTAATGTCCTTATGAAGATGGTCGCTCCGACCGAAACATGTAAAGGATGAAAGATTAAAAAAACACAACACTTATCAATCACACTGGATGGCGTTAATAAACTTTTATATGAAATTATATTGTTTAGTTATCTTATTACTAGTTGATACCAGTTTTAATATATGTTTCAGTAGCAGCTCCCAGATTATCAGCAAGAGCTCGTCCTATACCAGCGACAGTTCTGGGGGTGGATACAGCATCACACATGCTGACTCGCTGGCAGATGAAGGTTTCCTCACTCTCAAGAGCAAGGAGATCCGCGACTCAGAGTCTCCCACTCGAGAGTTTCACCAGCGTCAAGAAAAGAATACAAAGAACGAGAGTGCTATTTCCAGCAGTGGAGGTGGAGAAGGATACTGGAGAGTTGTCCAAGAGTCTTCCTCGGGAACTTTTGAATCAGACGTTAACACTGGAGTGGGAGGAGACGTGATAATACACACCACTAGCAAGAATGAACGTCGAAATTTTGCGGAAGATTCCAAGCATGAGGGTTGCACCACTGTCACTGAAGTGAGTTCATCTGAACACACTTCGTGTATACCTCAAACCAGCAGCGCAAATGTACTCGATGTAACGGACAATAAGACTGTAACATCAGCAGGCAATATAGAAGACACCAGTAGCCATAACATAGTAGCATCGGCGAACAGATCATATTCAGAAAAGATGTCTGTTTCCTCATCGACTTCCTTCTCTGCAAGCAGCAGTCAGCAGCATCAGCAGAATTATGAAACGTCAACAGTTTCTTCCTCCGCAATTAGTGATCATCGAGAATCCAAAGCAGATACTAAGCTGGAAGACTCAGGCGTAGTTGTATCAGAATCAGCAAGATTCTCATCCACTGCAGCCAGTCGTGGTGCTGTTAGCTCCTCTACGACAATAAGTAATCAGACCAGTAGTAGCCAAGACAGTAAGAATCGTGTAACCCAACGTTCCCACACAGGAGAACTCGTAGGAAAGGCAGCTGAAGACACTAGTGAGACATCAGATGTAAAGGGTTCAGCCATCAGTGCTCCCTCAGGCTCAGTCACGGTTACCAGCAACAATTTGACAAAAGGTGTAAGCAGCTCCAGTAATAAGGGAGTAGAACAGCGCATTATGAGTGAGCTTCACAAGCTGGATTCATTCCTCTCCACACAGAATACGGTAGTAGATTCTACAACTCGCAACCTCGTGGATACTCAAGACTCCACTAGCTGGATGGTTGTATCGTCTGACAAGAATCATAATATTAAGAACGCCACAGACGAATTTGTATTCTGCTCTGGTGACACCACCCAAGATACGAAAAATTCTACCACACAAGACAGCAAATTCATAGAGCATGAAAGAACCAGCTCTGTTGTGAATTATAACACTGATATTCGAGAGCCCACTGATGCTACTCCAAGAAATACTGATGAAAGAGCTCCTATCATAGTAAAGGAAGACAAGGTGGATTTGGAGACGCCGACTAGTGAAGCAACTGAAGTTCCAAAACGGGGAGTCCCCACTCATGACACAACCATTGGGAAAGATGGCACTGACACTGGCGGGCATTATATGACAACATATCAGCAAGCGTACACAAACAAACGAATAAGTGTTGATCTAAGCCCCACCCATGAAGCCTTTGCTCGATCGCTGCGTGCCTCTCCAGAGAGGGCAACTCCAGCTTCATCTACACGTTCCTCTTCCAAAACTTCTCTTGATCGCTCCAGTCCTGTTCGGTTTCACAAATCTCCAACCAGAAACTACCGCAATAGGACTAGCCTTGATAACTCACTGGCCACTGTCAGAACAAGCCCTGATAGGACTCCTCAAAACAGAACTTCACCTACAAGGGCTAGTCCAGAAAAATCTGTGAACATGGTATCTCCTAGCCAGTCTAGCCCAAAGGATATGCCAAAACGCAGAAGCTCACCCATCCGAGCCAGTCCTGAAAAAACAACAAAGTATCCTGATGCAACTCCTACAAGGGCCAGTCCAGAAAAAATTACGAAGTCTCATCATTCACCACTGATAGCAACTCCAGAGAAGAAAAGAAAATCATCAGCCACGGACCGAAGTAGTCCAGAAAAAACAACAAAGTCTCCAAATAATGATAAGTCTCCATCTATAGGAAGCCCCGAAAAAAGTTTGAGACCTTTATGTGCTGAAATAACTTCTTCATCATTAACTTGTCCTGACAAGACACAGCAGGAAAAAATTTCACAATTGCCAGAAAGGAGAGTTAGTTCTGGTGATAAACTAAATGACACTGCCATTTCTTACTCACCGACAAGGAAAGTATCAGATTCCATAACGACTTATTCGTCTGCATCAGTATCCCCAGGCAGGGACTCAACTGTCAAAGCAACATTGAAAGAAAAACGCAAGTTGTCATCTGGCCTTTCTCGAGCGACAACTAAGAAGCGATCCTCGACACCAGGTGTGTCTCCTCACGTTAGTCCAACCCGTGGTGATGAAACACCTCGTACTGAAAGACAGAGCCGACCACGTTCTCGAGGAACACCATCGCATTCCAGTACTGACACTGAGGGTAGTGACACTGATATAAATTATAAGAAAACCGGATATGAAAGTAAAACAGAAAAAAAATTGTTGAAAACTGTAATCCGAGCTACTGCTGGTGATACTGGAACAATGACTAAAGGAAATGAAATGGACAAAACCAATATTGAATCTTGTGAAACTGACGAAAAAGGAGCTTCAGTTTTGTCACGTAAACTGTCTGAAGATACTCACCATCATAAATATGATGAACTGAGTGGAAATGTTACTGAAGACGATGGTCCTGAAAGAATAAAGACAACATCGACACCGTCTTCCAGTCCTGAGAGAGTTCCAGAGGAATATTTGAGTACTACTCCTCTACCTCATAAGATTTCATCTAAAGATACAGTTACTGCAAAATCAGTAAAAAATAAAGATTCAACACTAACAGGAAAGACAACTGTAAAAAAATTATCTAAAGGTGAAATATTCCATTCTACTGAGAGAAGTCCTTCACCCCAGAAAAGTAAAATTGATGATGTAGACATTAAAATCATTCCCTCTAGGCAAGAATCAGGTGATAGTTCACCTTCCAGCAGCCCTATTGATATCTCTGCAACAGTACTCACAGAATCGCCAAAATCTGTCTTGGATAAACTTCCAAGAGACAAATCACCAGAATACAGCTCAGAGGGTTCACTTGTAAATGAACTGTACCCAAGACAATCAGCTGCTGATGTACCTAGAGAGTTGTCTTCACCTGTGAAGGAGCCAAGAGATGTCACTAAATATTCTCCGGACTCAAGTCCAGATAGAGGAAACTTCAGACCTATAAAATGTTTCAGAACAAGTCCCGAAATTCGTCCTCAAACACTAGAATTTGCTCATCCTCAGACAGAAGCCAATTTTATACCATCTCCAAAAGAGTCAGAATCACCAACAAAGGCATTTAAGAGGAAGCCTGGAGATGATATATCAAATGTGGAAGATCATATTGAGGAAAAAATGATACCACCAACCAAGCCCAGCGAAAGAAAAGAGCCAGCTAAGCCTTCAGAACAAATATCTATTAGAGATACTGATTTTAAGAAGTCTCCAGAGAGAGTGAACACATCACCCGTAACTGAAAATAAAGATTTAAGTATAGGTAGCAGTAAGAAACTCCCCTCATCAACAAAGGGAAAGCTTGATACTTTCAGCAATGTGTCCTGTTCACAGATAGACACATCTTCCACTCATATAACAACACATAAGAGTCAAGAAAGCAAAGGTAAATCAGATCAAAATATCCAATATCCAACAAAAAAGAGGACACCAGACACTCAAACAAGGAAACATTCTCATGATACTGCTGTACACAGTAATACCCCTGAACAAAATCTGCCAGAACATACAGCTGGAAAGCCATTTCAGCCATCAAAGAAATCTAAGAAGGAAACTACAGAGACTGATTATGGTAAAATTAAGAAGCTACCTGAAACTGGGGAGAAACCTAAAACCCAGAAACATAAGGTTGATGAAGATGTTCAGCAGAGTAAAGAGACAAAATCTTCTAGCATCTCACCATATTCTTCCAGTCCAGAGAGATCATTAACAACAGCTACTGTGAAGATTACTCTGAACCATGTATCACCACAGAAACAAAGTGTATCCCAAGAGAAAAAAACAAAGTCAACAAGAGATTATCAAAGTCAATCAACTTTAAATGAGAATCTAGACAAGCAGTATTCATCAGACTCTAGTCCTGAGAGGGGATCTCCAAAGAGAAGCACAACTCCTACAAGTAACCAGCCTCAGGAATCAGATGATACTGCATTTTCTAAGCCAACTTTCATCTCCAGGAAGCTCTCAGATACACTTACCACACCAGACAAGCCCACAGCAAAGAAATCAGGTCGGTCTCTTCCATCCCCATCCCGAAGTTCAGAGAAACCTAAGAGTGCTTCTGAGCCAAGTGAAAGACAAAGCATTAATAAAGTCCCGTCCACTGCATATAGTAACCAGATGCCTAGCAGAGATTTAAGCAGCAGACAAACTCCCAAAAGGCCATCACAAAAGAGCAGTCCTTCCCCCCACCGAAGTCCCGATAGAACAAATCCAAGCAGAACAACATGCAAGGGCTACAATTCATCGCCAGATTCTAGACGGTCACCTTCTTTGAGTCCAAAAAGAATAAATGAGAGAGTTAATCATTCAAATATAGTTCCTAGAAGTCACGATAGAACAACTTCTTCTAGCCCTGATAGACACAGAAGTCCAAAAAACATTAGAGCTCCTGGAATAAAACCCTCGATCAAGCCTTCTCATAGATTACGAGATAGTTATTCTCCATCGTCCAGTCTGGAGAAAAGATCTAGAATACCAAGCAATAATATACGAGACCTTCCAAGTCAGCCACCAGCAAGGTCCAGTCGGCCATCAACCAGACCCAATCAGAGTACATCTAAGCCTGGCCAGTCACCAATGCATCCTACTCAAAAATCATCAAAACCTAATCAGCCATCAACAAGGACAAGTCAATCACCTGCAAGACAAAGTCAACATACTACAAGAACTAATCAGTCTCTAGCACACTCCAGCCCATCTCCCTCTGGCCCTAGGTATGGAACTGAGAAGCCAAAAAAATCAGTATCACACACTGTCCCAGTGAAATCCGCATTTGTTAGAACCCCAACAAAACCAGATGATGGTACTCATTCTTCTAAAACTCTTAAGGAACCTGGTCACACTCCCAATCGATATCAACGGCAGGAGAGTCCAAGTAAAAATTGTGGAAGATATATAACAAGACTATCTCCTTCAGCAAAAGGTTATCCTACTACTAAAAAGGAGCCCAGACAGCAGAAGCCAGATGAAATAGATGATGAACAATCTACTGACCGCTCATCAACTGTTTCAAGCCCTGAAACTGTTAAAACTGCAGGAGATAGCACTGCAGAAGACACAACATGCTTTCCTATCACACAGGTGACTAGTCAGCAAATCACTGCAACATCACATAAACGTACAGAAGTGTTTATCCCCGAGTTGTCACGTGATAGAAAATCCTCTCCATTCCCTGATGATGAACGTGACCAACTTGTCTCTCTCTCTGCCTTAACAAGCACTACGGCTGTAAAGAAAAATGAAATTGATGCCACATTTGTGACAGTTTCACCTTTATCAAACAGGAAAACCAAAACAACAGATTTACTTGAGAACGAACCTCAGAAGGGATACTACAGTGATGATTACAATGTAGATGATTTACAGGATGAATCCCCACCAGAGGAATTCCTGGTTGAAGATCGATCCCAAACTGGATCACCATTTCAGACATACTCAGGTCAAGGGAAAATTCAGACATTTCATGAAGACATTAAAGATGCTCCACAGACAAGAAAGCCAAGGGATGAATCTCCCAAAAGTAAAGTGACCAGAAGTACTCCTACTTCTAGATCTGGCAGGGCTGTAACTCTTCCAGCCACTATCTCCAAAAAACCTACAACAACAAATGAGCCACATGAAACAAAGCAGGAGCATTGTCTCCAAGCAGTGGAAAAACGAGCTTCTTTCATGAGTCAGTCAAAGCGTATATCAAGGCCTGTAACTACAACAGACATAAATATCATACGATCAGACAGTGATAAGAAAGTTACTAGAAAGCAGACTCCTTCTCTTGGTGATGTTGAACCAAGACACCAAACTTCAAAAATAGAAATTGCAAATATTCACACTAATGTCACAAGGAATACATCATCTACACGACAACAGCGAGCAACCACTGCGGCAACAGCTACAGCAAAAGTGTCATCTACCAGAACAGCAAAAGTACCAGCACCTCCAATAAAGTCAGTTCTAAAGAAACGAATGTATATCAAAGATCAAAACAGGGCTAATGGTAGGCCAAAATCAACAATCAGTACTGCAGTGAAGAATCAATCTGTTACCAAGAATCAAACAGTAGAAAAAAGAAAAACTACTAATTCTGCAAAGAAGAAATTTGTAGATGGAATCTCAGAAAAGCCACATACTTCATCATCTGAAGATGAACAAGAAATACCAGAGGCAGGGACTGATGATGAGAAAGAGCGAGCATATGTCTATGATGAACGTGATGAATCTTACATAAAGGAACCAGAAGATCTCAGGAGGACAGATGAGGAGCAATATGCCTCTAAATTAGCAGCAGTAAGAACTTTAGAAAACAAACTTCTGTCCCCTGCACAAGAAGTTCCTGGCATCATCATACAGCCCCTCAAATCATCCAGGGAATCCTCCCCTGAATATCCCAGGGGAACAATAGAGGATGGGAATAAACCACGATATGCTGACAGAATTAGTGAACCTGAGGATGATGATAATGTTGTGCATGGAAGTCACAGGCCAAAGACAGCATTTCAAAAGCCCATTTTGCATCTAGACCGTTTTGATGAGGATTATATAAATGAAGACAGTAAATTCAGGTGTAGACAACCTTTGGAAAATACTCAACTGAGGGAACTGTCAGGCTATGTGATTCCTCGCTCAGAACAAGTTACAGACTTAGATGAGGAATCCGAAACTGATGAGGCACGTAAGTCTGTCAGTGTAGCAGAAAGAGTTTCTCACTTCTTGGAGACAACCAGAAATGCAGGACATTCAGTTTTTGCACCAACTGAATCAACACAACAAATCGACAGTGGCCCAGATTCTCTAGATAGTCCTAGCACTGTTCAAAGGGCAAGAGCCATGTTTGAGACTATAGCTAATTCTCAAACATCCACACATAAGGACACTACAAGACAGAAAGATACCGTGAGTATATATGACATGTACTGTGGTAGTTCTAGGAAATCTCCTTCCCTAGATAGCAGAAAATCTGACACAGATCACCAAAATGATGAAGAGATTCAGAGACAACCTCGAAGTACATCACCATTGATTGAAGGAGAGTTCTGTGACAAGAGAGATAATTTTACTGGAACTAAGGGTACAAAGTATTCTTCGAAGAAACCGTCAATTAACGACTATCATATTGATGCAGAAAAAGATGATCAATATTACAGAGTTTCATACCAAGTCCCAGTCAATGAAGATGCAGGAAAACTAAGAACACCACTGAGAGACACTTATTATGACCGTAAGTCGCCTTCTCCAGAACGCCTGGGGTACAAAGAATCAGCACACACTCAACCCTCTAAGTCTCCAGCATCTTCATATCATCATAGTAAGCCATCTTCTGATAATATAAAGTTTGATACATATAAAAAGGCTAAACCTTCTCAGGAAAATATTACCGGATCTAAACCAATCACTGCCCAATCAGAGACATCATCTAATAAATATGATGTATTCACCATCCAGGGACATGTATCCAGTGACGTACTGACTGGAGATATATCTCAAAAGAAGTACGATCATTTAGACAAAAAGCTTTACCAGCAGGAACCATCATCTTCTCCAAGGCATGAGCCTGTACCAGAAAAAGAAAAGGTACAAGACTTACACCCCAGGGGGCAGGCAGTACGAGATTATTTCCCTGAAGACACTCTTATTCAGACATTTACCAAGGACACAACAACGGAGAGGGAAATCTTGCGACAGAACGATATCTTGAACAGGCCCTCCATATTTGAGGCAAGACATTTGGAACAAAAGTCAGTCCCTTCTTCAAAATCGGAACCATTCACTCATACTTATGAGGTTAAAACCTGTGAACATCATGATACATTCCACTCTGATTATGATAAACCAGTAAGAAGTGATGTAAAGTATTCTACAGACACAGTCATAAAAAGAAAGCCATGTCCAACTGATGCTACATCCTCTGTGACAGAAACATATCTAGACCAAGAACATTCAGAGGGCATGTACCTTCATGACACTATTTCCTCCTCAAGAAAGGATTTGCAACCAAGAAAACAATTTTCAACAGACACCTTTCCTCGAAGGACGTCCTCCAAAGATGATACTTGTCCCACAGGGAAAGATTCTCCTCCTAGGAAGGTTTCTCCAGTAAGACAGGATGCAGGACTACGTTCTAGAAAAGATTTCCCAACAAGGAATGACATTTACCCTAGAAGAGAAAGAAGTCCTGCCAAAACCTCAACAGTTCTAAGGAAGGATCAACCAGGAGATGTTGCTTCCTCCAGGAAGAATACCAGCTCTAGTGATAAAATGACACTACGAGATTCTTCCCCTACTAGAAGATACAGCAGCCCCAGAGATAAATTTACCACTGTAAATGATGTGAAAACTGCAGTTACAACTTCTACTGTAAGCTCTTCTACCAGAAAGCATCCATCTCCCAAGGACTCGTCACCTACAAGAAAGGAGTCGTATACTAAATTTGAATCTCCAAGAGAAGGGTCTCCAACCAGAAAGTACTCACCCCCTAGAGACACACTGTCCAAAGAAGACTATCCTAGAGTCAGCCATCCAACAAGAAAGCAGTCATCTCCAAAGGACACATCACCTACAAGAAAGGAGTCATATACTAAAGGGGTATCTTCTAGAGAAGGCCTTTCAGTGAGAAAACACTCATCTCCCAAGGACACATCACCTACAAGAAAGGAGTCATATCCTAAAAAAGAATCTCCTAGAGAAGGGTCTCCAACAAGAAGCTACTCATCTCCCAAGGACACATCACCCACAAGAAAGGAGTCATATCCTAAATTTGAATCTCCAAGAGAAGGATCTCCAACCAGAAAGTACTCGCCCCCCAGAGACACATTATCTAAAAGAAAGGAGTCATATCCTAAAGAGGAATCTCCTAAAGAAGGGTCTCCAACAAGAAGCTATTCATCTCCTAAGGACACATTATCTACAAGAAAGGATTTGTATCCTAAAGGGGAATCTCCTAGAGAAGGGTCTCAAACAGGGGGCTATTCGCCTCCTAAGGACACATTACCTACAAGAAAGGAGTCATATCCTAAAGAGGAATCTCCTAAAGAAGGGTCTCCAACAAGAAGCTATTCGTCTCCTAAGTTCACGTTACCTACAAGAAAGGATACATATCCTAAAGGGGAATCTCCTAGAGAAGGGTCTCCAGTGAGAAAGTACTCATCACCCAAGGACACATTGCCTACAGCAAAGGATTCATATCCAAAGGGAAAATCTTCTAGGGACAGTTCTCCGACAGGAAAGGAGACATCTCTCAAAGGTACATCATCTACAAGAAGAGATTCATGTCCTAAAGCAGAATCTCCTACAGACAGCTATCCAACAAGAAAGTACTCATACCCCAAAGATGATTCTCCATGTAGAAAGGACTCATATTTCAGAGAAGAATCTCACAGCATTAGTTCTTCCACAAGAAAAATTTCATCTTCAAAGGAAAAATCTCCAACAAGGAAGGATTCATGTTCTAGAGGTGAAACTCTAAGAGACTCCTCTCCCACACAAAAATATTCATTTCCAGTGGATACATCTTCGCCACAAAAAGATGGTTATTCAACTTTAGAACAATCAGGAATGGATGACAGATATCCTAGTGATGGTTCACCAATTAGTCAGGAGACGAGTCCCAAAAGAACATCCCTGACTGGATTAGAAACAAAAACTGCCACTCCTAGGAGAGATTCCCAAACAAATCAACACCATCCCAAAGAAGAACCCAAAACAGTAGACACAGGAACTGTTCGAGGCAGTGGACGTTTTGGGGTGAACTTGCGTCGCATGGGATCTGCTGTTAGTTCTACAATAAAAGAGCGTTTCAGTGGAGAGACACCGAAGCCTGAAACAACTTCCGACAAGAAAGGAGATGAACCCCATATTGAGGAGATCTTTGATCTTGAATTGTTAGAAATGATGGTAAGTTAATTTTAGAGTTATGTAGGTCATTTTAACTCTTTTATTCTTTAGAATGACTTATTAGCTATGTTATTATTTTGTCCTGTGGTGTTGTTTATTTTTATGCATATTACATTTAATTACACACTAATTTACAGTACTGTATTAAAAACATTTGCACATTTAAAAATACTGACCCCACCACATTCATCTCAGGCTTATAAATCTTTTCAAAGGTAGAGACATGAAATGTGTCACTGTTTTTGAGTAATTTTCTTTATTAAAGAAAGGGTGTTGCTACTACCTGATTAAGATTTTTTGTTATTCAGAGGAAGAGCATAGAAAAATTTAAGTAAACATAGACATAATTGGGATTCAACCTGATTACCTTCACAATATGAGACAGATTAGGAGATACAACATTATACAGTGGTGAAAAATTGTTAATGTCATTATTTTTTTTTGCTGGACTCAATATTTTACAGAGTTGCAAATAATACCTTTTGTTTGTCTGTTTGTTTCTTTCCTTCTTTCTTTCATTCTTGTTCTTTTGGACATATTGATTTTAAATGCACATTTTGCATATTTGTGTTGCAATTCAAATGAAGTATTTAAATCCACTAGGCATCCATTAGATTCCATCATGTCCTGTTCTCTGTTTCCCATATGTAAAGTTAAGGTGTATAAAGTAAAGCTATCCCTGTAGCAGGCCGTGGAGGCCCATAGGGTTGTGAGACGTAGAGGCTTCCACATTTGTTCTAGACAGTCGGCCCACAGATGGCAGTAAGGTTGTCAGCCTTATGTGCCGGTCGCCCTTTACCCCCAGGAATATTCCTGGTACTCATTTCTGTTAGAGGTTGAGTCGACCCTAGGGCCATAATGCATCTGGAAAGATTAGGTAAATTGAAAAATCCACCTCATCGGGATTCTATCCCGCGACCTTGGGGTTTGTAGCATAGTGCTTCAACCAAGTACGCTACCGCGCTCATGGGCACATATTATCATAAACTCCGAATCTGTTCAGAGTTCTCGAGACAGTTGTGGATTGTGTGGCAGGCGTCCACAGGGCTCCGATGAAGTGTGTCCAAGTTGTGAACAGGAGCTGAAAACACGGGAGCTTTCAATTGCCCTCTTATAGAAATCCAGATTATTAAAATCAGGTGAGCGTGGGACCCAAGCAGTGGATCCTTTTCTATCTCTCCTTCGGGTATTATACCCCGTATGTACTGTTGGAGACATTTCACGCAACGGCTGAAACCTAATGGAGCACCAACTTGCATGAATCACCAGAATTCTCCGGCTGATAGTGGTATATCTTCTAGTAGTTCGGACGAACTGTTTACAGAAAATATCGGTAGTGTTCTGCTGTAAGTCTACGTGGCAAAGTTTGGCCACACATTTCAGATTCACTCTGTATAGTGCAGCTATTGGAAGCCACAGTTAATTAAAAATGAATACTTGGTACTTGAGTAGCAACTGAAGAACGCTACGAAGGCTTAGACCAGAGTACTCGTTCTGTGATACTATAAAGAGATTTTCTTTGCAGTTGGAGAAGGCGGTAGGCTACGAGCAGCGTCGCACCATCCGAGCGCAGATCCGCATCGTGCGCCGACTTATGGCAGAGCGATCTGCAACGATCGACAAACCGAAAGAGAATCCTGAACCCTCCAGTGACAGCGCACTAGAGCAGTCCTTAGTAGGCAGTCGGCAGGAACTTATACATGATGGAGATCAGAGAAGAAAACCAGATACCGAAGTTCAGAGGAAGATATCTCCAACACGCCAGAAGCCCTTCTTTAATCGAAAACAAGAAGTCGAAGACTCGGTGCCGTTTGAAACGCGACCTGTTGATGACGATGACAGCTATCAGAAGTCATCTTCCTCACCGCAGAGCGTTTACCGGGAAACTAGGCAGCAGAGCAGTTTTTCAAATGTCCGGGATTCGAAACAATTTGGCAGCCGCATTGAGTCACATTCCACCTTCTCCAGGGATTCAAGGCCTCTTCCTGAGGAAATTCCAGATTGGAAGTCGAGTCCCGTAAGAAAGCCATCGAAAACTGAGCTCAACATCGAACTGAAACCAGCCACATCCTCCTCTGGTGAGTATAAAAACCTAAATACTATGATATGTGGAAGTTTATCCTGTTTCTCTGTTTCATGTTGTTCTCCTCACAGAACAACATGGACCGAACATATATCTGTACACACTCATGTATGTATAACGCGAAACACGGAACAGATGAAATATCTTCGGATTAGTGCACCGTATCTGTTATATATTAATAGGAATATTTCTGCAGCAACTTTGTGTTGTACGACAAGAGTTGCCACCAAGTGTGGCACCTACAGTTTCATTCCATCTCTTCAGTGGACCTCGCATATTGACCTATTATGAACACGGCTTCTAGGTTGTTATAAATACATTTTGTGAATAATTCACCTCCTCCATTTTGATCTCGTGCATCAGTAGTAGAAGAGAGGGGAAAATACCGTAAAAGTCAAAGGATGAGAAGCATTATACTGTTGGGGGAAAGGATGGTAGAAAGGGTGCCATTTTACTGGAATATTCCCAATCTTCACCCGCTTATCATTCTAATAAAGATAATATGAAAACGAAAACATTAGAATCGTTAGAATTACTGACTTCAGACAGAGGCCGCAAAATTCTGTTTTCCGAATTAGTGTCGAATTGCATAATCTGAAAAAATTGGTGGCCTTTGCCGCAAAATTGGCTCAATTTTTATTAATTTTAATCGGGAAGGCAGCATGGGAACTGCTCAATAGCAACTTGGAACTTTGGTGTCATCTGGGCATTTGGTTAAAGACCAAGGAAAACCTAGAAAACTATCGCACACGGAAATAATGCACTTAGCTCGTACTACCATTAAAATGGGCGTTAATGCATCAGAACGTGTTTAATTCCTGTTGCGGAAATTTCTACTACACAACAAAGAGACTGTCATACCTGCTGGCTTGATTGTGTTTGTCTGACATTTCCTGTCTTAAACATCGTCCATCCTGTTCATGACTGGCCAGTACAATAGGCGTCATGCGCAATCAGGAAGACCAGATAAATGTGATTGTTTTGTGGAGTCATGTAGTAGCTCACGTGGTCTTCCTTCACGAGCAAGTAGGCTCAGACGATAACGCTATTGAGTTGTTTTAGGGAGGTGCCCGGTTCAAGTCTCGGCCGTGATACTTATTATCCTAGCTTGTTCATTTTTTCCTTAGGCCTTCCAGAAGAATGCCTGGTTATTACCTTGAAACAGGCCATGGCCGTTACTTTACACATAATTTTCAATTCATCGTTAATCATCATATTTTAAATATAAATAATCTTTGAGGGTGCATCATCCGTTGGATATGTAGAATTTTACGCCAAAAACTAAAAACTAAAATCTAACTTCATGGAGCTGAGCCCTTCTTGAGAAGTCGCCCATTGTGCAGCTACTAAAGAACTTCCTAGCATTTTATGGAACCAAAGGTTCATTACCGTGATCACAAGAGCCCCCCACTGGTGCCTCTGCAGAGGCAGATCGATCTAGTCCATACCATCCCCATCTAAGATCATTTAATATTATCCACCCACCTACATCTTGGTCTTCCTAGTGGTCTCTTTCCTTCTGGCTTTCCCACCAATATCCTATATGCATTCCTCTTCTCCCCCATTCATGCTACATGCCCTCCCCATTTCATTCTCCTTGACTTGATCATTCTAATTATACTTAGAGAAGAGTACAAGTTATGAAGCTCCTCATTGTGCAGTCTTCTCAAATCTCCCGTCACTTCATCCCTCTTCGACCCAAATATTCTCCTCAGCGCCCTGTTCTCAAACACCCTCAGTCTATGTTCGTCCCTTAATGTTAGATACCAAATTCCATACCCATACCGAACCACAGGCAAAATTATAGATTTTGTGTTCTAATTCTTATGTTTTTGGGCAGCAGACTAGAAGACAAAAGGTTCTGGACTGAATGGTAGCAAGCATCACCCGAATTCAATTTTCTATTAATTAGAATTTTACGCTATCATTAGAAAATTACTAGACTCTATTTGCATCATAAAATTGAATCACAATCACAAAACCGGAGATCGCATTCAACAAACAGAGCTTTTCTTCCTTGAAATTGTCTATTCAGAGTATGAAGTGCTCACACAGGTGCACGAGTGTAGCATTCGATGCTGTATACTCGTAGTCTTAGCTGCTGACAGCGTCTGACAGGTCTGGGTTATAGCCACACCAGTTTCTTCTCTCAACTTTAAAATCTGGGCATAACAGAACGGTTTCAGGGCATGCCCCATTTCATTCGAATTCCGAAAAAAAAAAATCTTTCAGAAGTGTGCAGTAATCACGTTACTGCCGGTTGTTCCGGGTGTGAGACACGAACTGGCGTTTAACCACGCACGAATAGTTCGGACTCCTGGGGTCCTTAGTGCAATAGGACTGGATGAGATTGAACTGTGCACTGAGCTCAATCACAACTGGCACGTAGAATACTAACTTAACTAATGTTAGATTTCATATACTGTATTTATATATAGTGACGTCATGCCTGCTATTATATGCCATGACGCAAGCTCATGTTAAAATTAGTCGGCCATAATGAGAGCGATCATGGGGTTCACACATCCATTTCCCCATATTCTGTCTCATTTCTCGCGGTGACTAGACCCCGCTGCGTTAGTTTATAAATTCTGAAAGCTTTCTTAATTTCGTGGCCTCGTTCTTTTCGACGCTGGCGGTGTCGAGACAATATGGCGTTGGTGGTAATATGATTAAGATACATGGATCAGTTACTGCATAATGAGTTTCATAACTTGTACTCTTCTCCATGTATAATTAGAATAATCAAGTCAAGGAGGATGAGATGGGCAGCGCATGTAGCACGAATGGGGGTAGAAGAGGAATGCCTATAGGATATTGGTGGGAAAACCAGAAGAGACTGGTAGGAAGACCAAGACATAGGTGGGTGGACAATATTAAAATGGATCTTAGAGAGATAGGATGGGATGGTACGGATTGGATTGAATTGATCTTGCTCAGGATAGGGACCAGTAGAGGGCTCTTGTGAACACGGCAATGAACCTTCGGTTTCCATAAAATACTGGGAGATTCTTGAGTAGCTGCAGAATTGGCGGCTTCTCAAGAAGGACTCAACTCCATGACTAAGTAAGTATTATGGATCAGTTGGTGAAATGAGAATTGGGAAGGGAGACCTAGGTTCTCGGGGAGAACCTTGCTGTAGTGTCATTTTGTTCACCACAAATGTCGCATGTTCTGACCTGGCATCGAACCCAGGCCGCAGCAGTTGGAAGCCGGCGACTAACCGCCTGGACTGTGACACAGCCGTGTTCATGGCGCCATGACTGACCAAACACATGGCCTGTGGTATTGGGGAGTTGATGTGTAGATCCACGTTTTCTTGACCTCGGCACTAGTTGGAGGTGAGTGACCAGCTTCACGCCTCGGACACTTTACTCCCGGGGAAAGGTTGATAAAAGGTGAAAGGTAAAATTGTCCCTGTGTTTAACTGATTAATCAGAACGTCATGTAGACATACGGTGGAGTGAAGGTATAGCTCCACCATTTTTAACCTCGGCACTGAATGGCGATGAGTGGTCAGGTTCATTCCCCGGCTGCTTTACCGTCGGGGAAATATCCCCCTGCAACCTCAGAGCCTGTCTAGACGTTACGAAGGAGAGAAAGATCTCATAGCCTTATGCTAGTGACTACACCGACTGGTCTACTCCAACTCCATCAGCACTCAAATATTAGAATGAATAGATGTCATAGAGTGTGGACTAGATTCAGCTGATACAGGAGAGGGTCCTGTGGGGCTGTTAGGGTCTCGCCTACGAACCTTAGTATACCATAAAAGGCAGAGAATTTCTTGATCTACGAAGTATTTCTTTTATTGCTACTGGGGTGGGACCAAGTCCCTTGTACTCTGGCTACTTCTGGCCTATTGTACCAGCCCTAGATGATAGGTGAGGGTGATTGTAGAGCAATTGGTGGAATGAAGATTGGCAGGGGAAACCGAAGTACTCGGCGAAAACCTGCCCCAGTGCCACTTTGTCCACAATAAATCCCAATTGACCAGACCAGGGATCGAACCCGGGCCGCCGCGGTGGGAAACCAGCGACTAACCTCTTGAGCTATGGCGCGGCCTGATCTACAGAGTAAGTATTGTTTGTTTCAAGTAAGTGCCTCGCCTCTCGATAAATCCACTGACTGACTGTAGAGTACTCTCTTCTGCGATGTGCCATCGTGTAGTCTGGTAGAAATTTACTGAACTTTCGGAGGAACGTACTGCTTCCATCTTCAGGGTTGAAGAGTAAGCCGAGTAATCAAGGCCAGCCCATATCAAGCAGGCTTTCACGCATTCTGCTTCTAGCTTACTGGCCTTAGTTTTGGAACCTGAAGATGTTGGCAATACATTCTTCCGAAATGTCAGTAAATTTCTACCATACTACACGGCGTTACGTGCCAGAAGATGGAACTTTCCAGAGTCAACGCCGTGCGAATCTCAATTTCCACTGATTATCTGTTGTCCTAAAATATTTCTTGTTTCCTTTATGGTGGTAAGTGAACTATGGATATTTTGGTGAAAGGGGAACAAGTAACGAAACGTTTTAACCCCCTGTAGGCAGGCAGAATTAGGAACTATGTCCATAAACTAGGACAGCGAGATTCTCACAGGACCAAATACAGACTATGATCAATCGAATGCTTAATGTGTCACTGTCAGTGCATTCTCGTTGACATGTTGGAAAGTTGAAATTATTTCGTTAGCTAATTTGCAATTTGCGGTAGTCTCTCAAAAGGCATTCAATTTCCAAACTAACATTCGACTCCCACCATACTCATTCATAGAATGGTGCTTATTTGAATGCAGGGATGACCTTACCTTTATTTACATAAATAAACCTACAGACACGTCACAGATAGTTGCAATGAACAACATACTTGTTATGTAGGACAAGAGGTCAGTTTCTGACAGCGTCGTGAAATGATCCAACATCCCGCAAGCAGCAATGATAGCACTAGAACAGAGTGCGCAGTCATTCTTAAACATCCTCCTCTTCAGCGACAAATTCG